GCTGTTTTGTAAATATTTGACTGATTTACAGCTCTCAGAGAATAAATCAATTTCATCCCATACTTAATGGTGATTTTCATACTAGAACTCTCATTTACATAACTTAAAAAGAGGTAACTAATTTCTTAAATTACCTGGTGAAGCTATACAGGTTATATTACAAGTGACACTGCTTCTCTTGTATTTAATAAAATAGTCATCTCCCTAACTCAGTATGTTACTGATAGTCTTTGTTATTTCACAGTGTTCCTATCCCTCTTTCCAGAATAGACTTAAGACTCAGGAATGGACCACGTACAGAAAACGAAGAACCAATGACAGAAAGCCTATTTTTACCTGTTATACTTTATGCGACCATATGGGAGTTATTTTCACATTAAAGAAAATACTTTCTAATGTTGTTCTTTAGGATATCAAGAGGCATAGCTAAAACCAACAATCTATATGTTTTTAAAAATTAAGATTTGATAGTATTTTTACTTTCAAGAGACAACAGTTTTCCCCCTAAAAACTGTAAAACAATAAATACATTCAGAAGCAGAGGGGTAGAAAAGTGTATTATATATACATCTGTTAAAGAAGTAAAATGGTAGCTACATTTTTAGAGGTTATAGATAACAACAAATGACATAAAAATTTAAAAAGATTAAGAACCCCAAACATATTAATGTTAAAAACCTCTGGTTAATACTGAAGTTAACAAAGGAATAACCAAAAGAAAAGAGTGAGTGCCAAACTCTTTTTGCCCCACTCTCCTTACTCCACACACAGAGTAATAATCCTTAGATTCACATTGGTGTTTCATGTTTCAGATTGTATAATTATCTCTACTAATGAATCAGGCAGTGCTTGATTCAGCAGCACATATACTAGAACCCAGAAGGTACAATTTAGGTATTGGGTGCTCCATAAAAACTGAAAGGGAGCTACTAATTTCACTATAAAAGCTGAAGTAATATCTGATCTTTTCAATTTTGTACATTTATTACCTTGAATGTAAAAGCTATAAACAAATATGTTTTAGTTGCTAAGATCCATGTCAGAGCCAAGCATGCCATGAATGATCACTGGTTTCAAAGCTTAGCACTTAAATAATTGTAGTGAATGTTTCTCCCCCACTCCCCTTACTCCACACATACAGTAATAATCCTTAGATTCACATTGGTGTTTTATGTTTCAGATTGTATAATTATCTGTACTAGAGTTTGGCGCTCACTCTTTTCTTTTGGCTATTCCTTTGTTAACTTCAGGATTAATGACAAAAGCAAAAATTTATACAGTGTAGTACTTTTAAAACATTCCTGTTATAAAAGCACTATTCTTATATACATTCATCCTTAACACACTGTGAGATATGAACTGTTACCTCTATTTGATTCATGGGGATATCAGACATAAAGATTTAAGAAATCTGTCCAAAATTATATAGCAAGAGGAGATCAGGTAGTATGGCTCTGAAGTAGTTTCACTCTTTGTATTTTTTCCTCTCAAGATCAGTATTTACACACAAAACTCTTGGGACATGATTAGTTGAAAAGCATATTATGGCTTTCCTCAAATTGAAATATTTTTGTGGTATTGTCATGAACTTCCCATCTCCATTTTGATCACAGGCTATAAAGCTGATTACACTGTGTAAGTGCCTTTGGGTTAGGTCCTCTTTTATTCA